ACTCTGGTCTGACACTTTTATTTTCTTCTCTTTGCAGGACTATTGATAGAAACCATTTCAAAACTGCTCTTTAGTAAGATTCTATTTATACAAATACAGCACATGGCACAGCACAGATAAAGTAACCTTTATAACCAGTTTTCTTCAAGGAAATCCTTGCTTCAGTAATTGTGTGGACCCTGCAGTTTTAGGGGAGCACCAACATTTTTGTTGGTAAGTGGAACACACAGAAGTAAACACATAATTACATAATCCATTAACTAATCTCAACAGAATTTTTGCAATAATGATATAAACCTTAAATCCTCTTTTTTTCTTGACAAAAGACTGGGGAAAAAGGTCTGACTCTTGACCTGCAGGTTTCTGAACAGGAATGGAAACAAAACACCTGAGCTAGGACAACCTGAAGATAATTAATTTAAGGAAACCATGGGTATCTACAAGATGCCCACTCTTACTGTGTAGTTTAGATTTCACTCTGTATCTGGTAGAGTTAAGCACCCCATATAGTAACATATTCCAGCCTAGGCACTTCTTTTAGCATGACATTTAATTGCTTTCTCTTGCCATTGGCTAGGAGAAAGGCCTAAAAGAACAGCTTGTGGATTCCTGGCTAACACCAGATGACATGAAGCCACTGGAAGGTCATTTCCTGTGGCTAGGCTAAGTTCTTGCAGTAAAAAACAAACCATATCTTGTCAATCTTATCTTATACAAAGTCCACTTTAAAACAGTTTTAAGCCCCCACAAAAGGTTATGTTTATAATTTTTTAATTTATTGTGTTTTACTTTAAAATTGGGGAAGACTCAGCTAATTCATAGTGACTTATTAAGCTGAGTCACTTGGTTTTGGACTGTGTGTTCACAATACCTTCCTCTATGAAGAAAATATTTGTTTTGCCTGAAAAGCTGGCTTATTTCTTTGGCGAAATATATCTAATTTTCTGAATCATTTAGCAACTTAACATATTAGAAAGAAAAAAGTTATATGACTTGTATCAGGTATTAGATGGTATTTTATGTCTTGCAGCTGGAGTTCAGGGTACACACTTTCTCTATAATTGAAATTAGGAGGACAGATGACTTACAGAAGCTAGTTTCCAGACATAGGACACTATTGGAAAAAATAGTCTTGAGTAAGTTTATCACTTATATAGAAAGTATATAAAAGTACTCTTTTTCCAAAACTTTGTCTACATTTTGGTCATTTCTAACTGAGTTTCCTAATCTCTCAAAATCAAATTAAGCTCTCTGTAGCACAAATGTTAATCCTGTTAGTACATTCCTGTTAGTTGTATCTAGATCATCTTTGAAGATATCCAGATAAAGGTGAAAAAAACATGATACTGACATTTCCTAGAACTACATATGGTGGGATAAACTTGTTAACAAATAAATTAAACAGCTTTTTTTCCTTCAACATTTTGTTTTTTGGTTTTTTTTTACAGCTTTCCTTTTTTTGAAACAGAAATTTCTGTACGAAATTGATGAAATAAATTTCTGTATGAAATTGATTCACCTTGAGGAATGAAAAGTGTGGCATTTCCCTGATACCTGCTGTCCAAAAGACATAGACTTTTCTTTCAAGTTTTAAAGCTGAAGGACTGTGAGGGACTCATGGCAATCTAATCATCAAAACAAAGTGTCTAAAAATGTCAAATAAAATCTCTAGATATGCTGGCCAATCATCTAAATCATCCACCAGAGAGTTCTCAACAAGAAAATATTGCATTACAGGATAGCCATGGCCAATTGTTCACAGTTTTTATGAAAAATTAGGCTTTTAAACTGTTTAGTCAGTTGTGTTAAATTTTAAGAAAATGAAAAAACAACTGAATCTGAAATTAATAACAAAAAAATGGTACATTTTTAGTGCTGGAAATCTCTTAGAACTTATAAAATGCTTGTCATCTTAAGGACAACCAAGATATAACAAAAATTGTGATGGCATGCCATCTGTATTTTAAAACAGTCTAGGCATGCATGTAACAGGCATTTGTCATGTCTGTAAAGAAAGAGGGCAGGCAGAAGAAACAAAGCCAAGCAAATTTGAAATGTACATTAAGATATGCCACAAAACTGTGGGTGTATTACTGTACAGTTGCAAAAGACTTCCTCATACAATTAAAAGGTCAAAGCAGTATGAACAGAACAAAAAATTAAATTTATAACAATTTATAAATTTATAATATTTGGTTTCACAAGTTCTAGACAGAGGTGAGATGTAGAATTTCTATGGAATCCTTTTGTTCTACCTAACCAGATATTGACTGCTATCACCCAAGGACACATCAAACTATAGGCAATCATTGATGCAATATGGCTTTGGTTTTCCATTATAAAAGGTTCCCTTTCATTAGAGTTTTAAAAGATTTAGTGTGAGAAAGTAAAGACCCTGTATTCATGACCTGGAATAATCTACTCCTTATGAAAGGCTGACAAACCACAGAGAATCAAAGAATGTGCCTGCGGCTACAGAGGTTTTATCTGAGTCTAATCTAGGGGACACTAGAAAATTCAATGTATAATTGAAGATTCATCAAAAAGAACTCAGATTTAAAGATACATTTATTGTGTGAATGAGAAATCCTGGAGTATTGGTTTGCTTTTGTGTTGTTTGAAGTAATTTTTTTTTTTTAATTTCAAGAATAAAAGGAAAGCTCAAGGAAAATGAATTATTGCATCAGGTGTTGGTTTGTCCTCCTAAAATGCAGCAGCTTTCTCTGTGGAAACGAACTTTCTATATATAGCCAATGCCTCAAACCCTACACCTCAACTATCAAGTAGGCCACAGCCATCTATAATTTGCTCTAGGATTCAACACTTTTACATAGTTTGTTTTTGTTTTTATTTTTTTTCAGATCTTGGGCACAAAACAAACAAGTAAGAAAACAATCCCGCTGCAATTCCCAAACTGAAAGAAATATGGATGAGTTTTCTATACCCCACTTTTGGAATAATTTTTTATATAACAGCATAGTTTTTAGCTGTGTATGAGATGCTCATGGCAGAGAGCTGCCTGTTCCTGGGTCAGCCACCTGCCACAGAGCATTGGCTCACAGGGCAGAGTGGGCCCTTTTCAGCCAGGAGCACTCCTCCAGTTCAGAGCCGACATGGAACAGGAGAATGAAATGCTGACTATTGACTTCTAAGAGCACTGAAGCACTTTTCACAATCAAATAAGAAGCAATTTGATTTCAAGAGAGACAGAGAAAGTTTCAGGGACATTTCCATAGACAAAATGCTTAAAAGTACCACATTGAGTTTACAGATCACTTTATTCCAAGGGATCACTTATGCCTCAAAGCAATGTCAAAAAACACCACTGCCAACAAATGGACAATTAATGCCCAATACAGCATGTGACCAGTCCTGCTGTGGTTGGTGACAACAAAATAACAGAGGGGAGACTGGCAAGGAAGATGAGAACTGCCCCCGTGGAGTGAACAGATCTCTAGTTTGAGTGAAGGAGAAAATAATGGCTGAATATGAGTGAAAAACAAATGGCAGGGAAAGAGACCAACAAGCTAAGTGGCATCTGCACTCTGTGTTTTTTCAAAATTTGACTAATTCTCTGTGAGAGTCCTGAGAAACTGCTATATCTCAGCTGTTCTGGAGAGCTGTATGTGGTCCTTCTGCCCATGATGTTGGGGTTCCCATGTAAGCTCAGGTCCAAAACCAAGCTATGCTGCAGATGAACCTATATTCAATCCCATCTCTGATCTTGTGTCCTGGACCAGCACTAAAGATAGCTTGTCTCCAGTCCTGTCCATGGACTGTGTCTCCTTGGCTGGGCCTTGGAGCTGTTTATCCTTTGCTCATGCAGAATTCCTGTGTAGATGTGGTTCACCATCTCTAGGTCCCCTTCTCTAGGACCGCTGATGGGAGATGCTCTCTCTGGTCCTTTCCTGAGCTGTCTGTTGGCAGCTGTGCCCCTTTGCTCCCTTCTTTGCTAGCCTGGCTTCCTGACTTGTCCCTGGGTCTGCCTCATTGCTGCAGACTCAGCTGATGGTCACTAGACCAGGGTTGACCCCTGTTGCTTCCCTGAGCTGCTGGGATTGCCCTGTGCCCTGCCTGTGCTTGCTGTCACACTTGGCTACCTGTTCCCTTGACCCATGAGGGAAACTTCATGCTCCCTGCTTGGAAAGGCAATCAGAGCCAATAATATTCCCCTTAATATCAGTGGAAATGTGATTTATTTAAATTTGCTCAGCAAATCTTCCTCTGCTTTGATAGACCATTCTGAAACCTTCAGAAATTAACCCAAATCTTCCTTTTCACCTCAGCTAGCCCTCCTTTGGCAATGAACATAGGTGCAGGCGACATCTGACAACTCAGTCCTATTCTAGTAAGGGAATTCTCATCCACTTCAAAGGCAGAAGGAAAAATCTCAGGTCTCAGTCCTTGAACTCACAAAGAAGATTACAAAAGTAGTCCCCTGCAGAGTGCAGAGCCTCATTTAACAGGGGCCATTATGGAAAAGGTGATCTTATTAACTTGCACAGGGAACATGCATGGAGAATGTGCAGGATCTCTGCTAGTACAGATGTAGATATAAAATGGGTATGGTTATTAACAAAATGTCATGTAATGATTCACTGCTATGAATGACTTTGTAGCACAATATTATTATTTAGAACTAGCACCATATACTCTCTTAAAACAGTTAAATAAAACTGCATTATTACAGTCAATAACTGTATTAATACTGCATTACTAGTCAATAATTGTATCAATACAATTAAAGTTTGCTTAATATGTCCATAATTGCACAAGCTCTTTAATTACAGAATGCTAAAGAGAATTGCAAATATTTAGTTTCCTAAGCAGTTCCTAAGCTTATTTGCCCTACTTATCTTCCATACAGATGTGGGACGCTGGAGTCCCTTGAGAGTCTGGTAAAAACTATTTCTACAATCAGATATCGATTAGTAAAGTTCAGTGGAGTGTAATTTGGCAAAATACTGACACTATTTACAGACAAAAAAAACCTCTCTTACCTCCATTATCTTTTAGGTGCAGTGCTATCTTGGTGTCATCTATAAAGGAAATTCAAAGTTAGTTGAAGGAAAAAGCATTTTTCTAGATCATGATTCACTTTAGCAATAAATTCCTAATGATAAATACATTCCAAAGCAAGAAAATTATCTGGTACTCAACTCAATGAGAGCTAGATTGTGGTTTTTCATACACTGAACACTACACTTTCTTACCACTAAAAAAACCCCCTACTTACAAGAGTGTTAAAGTATTCAGGAGGATTCAAAACACTAGCAAATAAGGGTATGAGAGTCTGTCTCATAATGTTTATAAATAATTCATATATATTACATATTCACACATAGCTGGAGCATTCTATCATATTAAGGACTATATGAACCAGCATTTGTCAACAAAGTAAGACAATGACTTAGTTTCTTTTTGAAGAATCTTGGAAAAGTCTACTAATACCAAACCCTATTCACTTCCTTTTACTAAACCCTATTTACTTATTCCTCTTTTTCTTGTGAATTTTAATGAACAGAATTCCAGAAAATATTCCTTTTAATGCAGTCCAAATTCTGCACTGACAGTTTCTAAACTATTATTGTGTTAAACTAACCGGTCTTTCTTATCATTCCCACGTTGAAATGCCTTCAGCTGAGATTTTCCTCTCACAGGCTACTTGGAAATCTCTACCTAGTTCTTTTCTTATGTTAACATACAATTACAACAAACACACATGCCCACACACACACACACACATTTTATAGATGATCTTTGATTAATCTGTATTAGCTTTCTTTCCCAGATAAATTTCCTCCAAAGGCAGGAGAGCAGGATATCCCAAGTTCAAAAAGGCAAGATTTAAGCAGCCATTGGGACAAGGATGAGAACTGACCCACCATTGCTTACCCAGTTAATTCAATTCAGAGGCCTAGAGAAATTACTTCACAACAGTGAGCACTACATGAAAAGAACAATGTCAATTGACTGAAAAAAGGTAAACAGGCATATTTCAAAGAGGTTTTTATTTTGGATTATCTATAATTTTCACCTGGCTAAATAGGATCCATAAAAGAATTACAAATTCATTAAGTCTGTGATGGGAATTTCTTCTAGATTTAGCAGGGACCTTTACTACTACTATTCAGCAGGTTTTGGACTACTCCCTGAATGTAAAGAAACAGGAAAAAGTCATTGTAACCTCAAGTTTCATTGTAATCTGAAGTCTTCCTAACTTGTCCTTACTTCTCCATCAGCATTCTCTCCTTGAGCCTTCATCCCCTTTTCACCTTACTGGTGCAAGAGTGAGCAATTTAAAAGCAAGAGCCTTGAAGGCAATTCCCAACACCTTCTGCTGCCCCAGAGGGAAAAGGCTGTCATCAACACATATTTAAAGGAAATAAATTTCTTTCTGAGTTCTAAATTGCTTTTTTCAAAGTGTAAAAATGCAGTGTATACATGTCACCTTCTGTGGGCAGGCTGGTTGGAAGGTGGGAAGTGGTGGATCCTCTGGTGGTTGTTAAAACTCTGAACCTTGTGGTGGTTGGCAGAAGGGTGGTGGTGGAGTACAGAGGTGTTTCAGTTGTGTCTATATTCCTCTCACAAATCTTATCCTTTGACTGTTGGGAAACAACAGAAACAAGGAAGAGCAAATTAATTCTCAGTGGAAACCATCAAGAATGAAGAATTTAATCATGGACAGGTTGCTGTGATAAAAAGAGTGAAAATAGACACTAGATAAAGAAATTTCAAGAGCTTTCTCTTTTAATTTTTTTTCCCTTTTCCACTTTCAAGTATCTATGCAGCATTCAGCAGCATATATTTTTTCATTTATCTGCAAAATTTACAGCTCTTAATTGTTAATTACAAAGTCAGCCCAGATTGTCAAACTTATTTCCCTCAATCAAGGTTTAACATCTAAGTTTATAATTCAGACTTTTCTGTTATGAAAGCTCACTGCCATCAATCCAGATGACATAAAACATGTTAAAAAAGATATGTGGGAATTAAATAGTAGCTCTTCGTAGTGCACAATGTGTAGCTAACTGGAGCAATTAATTAGGCTTTACATGGAATTATCACAAGAGAACACACATAGATGCATAAAATGTGTACGTGTATTCAGCCTATAGAATATTTATTCACTACAATAAATCAATCCATTCCCTATATGCCTATTAATTCAAATAATATTAAAGTGTAATGTATTTTTTGTATAAATAAAAACATAATATATCTATATATAAATATAGAAACCAATTATTATAAAGGATAAACATCAAAAATAATAAATTTTTTATAATAGATTTGCAAACTATAAATAAAATTCACTATCAAATATTAATATTTATTTGCATGGGCAAATATTTTGATACAGAGTCTGCTTGCTCTTTTTTCTTCTCCCAAGTTCTGGACATTTTTAAAAGTCTGAAGATGCAATGAATAATTTCTTTTATGGTTCACACAGTTTAACAGGAAAATACATCCAATTATCTTTCAGCATTTTACTCCTGCTGTCCCCATTCATTTTAATGAGAAGTGGAGTCATGCGAACCTTTATTTCATTTTATTGAGATCTGGCTGTCAAAACCCAGTGGACATTGTCTTTCTTTTAATATTCACAGATATTTTATAATTCTTTTTTTTACTTTAAACTATATATTACATTACAGAATTGTATCAGTACCTGCAGGATAGTTATTCTTTATATTTTTTTTGTATTTTTCTTAAAAAATACTGTTAATTTCACTGATGTAAATTAGTCAAAATTTAGCTCAAAATTTATATTAAAAATAAAGAAACATTACTATGAGAATCCTCATTATTTATTCTTTTGAGTGAAGCATCTAAAATTAACCATTGTGTGCTAAATTTTGATCCTTCCTGGAACTTTAGCAGTCAGGCTCAGGCATAGTTCTGGAGGATGCCAAGCAAGCTGTTGCTTCTACTCCACAGAGCCTAAAAGCTGGACAGTCAACTGCAACCAAGGAGCTCAAAACTGTGCAAATTAAACTATTAATTTCTCAGATACACTTAGTATATTGATAATTTCCTCTCAGATCATGTACTAAACCTTGGAGCACATGCTGGACTGGAGCAATAAAGGAGAAGCAGAAGGGAATGTTAATGTCCTGCAGAGAGAAGTTTTTTGATATCTTAATTTGCAAGCACAATTGAATCCTGGCTAATTATAATCAGGATTAAAGCAATACAAGGGTTGTGCCCTATAATAACACATGCTCCCAGGAACTTTTATCCTGTGTTCTTGAAAATGTTGCCCTCCACAGATAATAAACATCTCAAAAATGTTGCTTTCAAATCAGCTGGTGACAAGCTGCAAAGCTGAAGCTTCAAGGCCATGTAATAAGGCGGTTTGTAGGTTGCAGTTGTTTTGCAATTAAAGTTCTAAAAAAAAAAAGAATTTCTTCCACTAATATGGATTTATAGCATTACTTCTCTTCTACTGAAAGTAAAACACAATGTACTTTTCTTACTAGACACCCGGGGCTATGTTTTGCCCTGGGCTTCACCTGACATTTCAGAAGGCCTATGTTGTTGAAACTCATTCAGCATCAGGATATTTAGCCTGTTCAGCAAAAATGGAAAAAATAACTGCTTTTTTAATGGCAACCTTCTTTTTTAATGAAGATTAAAAGTGCCATAAATTAATTTGTTCCTATTACCACAGTCCCAACATAGAAAAAAATAAAAAGGGAAAATGAAAAAACACCCCAAACCTCAAACCAGAAACATTTGTAAAGGGGCTTTCAAACTGGAAAGTCATCATTATCATCATCAATAATCATCATCATCATCATCATCATCATCATCATCATCATCATCATCATATGTATAAATGTTTATTGGAAATGAACTTCTTTGGTCTAGGAGTACCCCAGATATCTTTCAGAGGAGGGTTATTGTCCCTGTTTTTCAGCCCACCACTGTCAGATATCTTCTTCATCCTCTCACTGCATCTCCATGAGAAGAAATCAAAATGCCATGCAGGCTGGTTGTGTGAGGACTTTTAAATTTTTATTTCAATTACTATTTTTATTTTATCTCTTTGAATTCATCTGTGTAATTTGTTCTTTACTAAATGATTTGGCCAGATTTCAAAACCAAAATGAAATGTCTGTTTTTCCCTTGAGGCAACTCTTGCAAAGGGTTTTCTGAAATAAGGAAAATCATTGTTTCTTCCCCTTTTCTGGCAAAAGTCAGAGATCTAAAAGAAAATTGGCACAGGGACATTGTTTTCAGGAGGCTTTCTGTTTTTTTACAGGTTTTGTTTAATTAAAGTATTTTCCCAAAGATAAAATTTTAATTTTTGTCCATTTTATTGCCTCAAATGGGGAGTGAAACTGCTCAGATTGTTCTTCTTTGTTATGCCTTATGGGATTTCCCCTGAAAGAGAAATATAGAATTTCTTTGGCCTTGAAACCACGCTTTATGATCTGAATAATTTAAACAAAAACATCACAACTACATATATTGTCTCTGATGGGCTGAGGATGTAAACTACTCACATACCTCTTCAGGGCAGCCACTGTCTACCCAATCTTGCCGGTGACGATCAAATCCACTGGAGCATCTTTAAATGATGAAATAGATAGAAGTTGTCCACATGGAAATAGGAGGGAAAAAAGAATAAAGCAAGGGAGAGGAACAGAAGAGAGTGACAGAAAGAATAAGTAAATTATATGATTTAAAATCCATATGCTTTATATGGTATCATTTTTATTCAAGATGCTTTTGCTTACAATATGAGAAACTTCTTTAATCCACTTTAGTGAAAGGTTTTTCAATGAATGAGATTTTATTTTAGTTTTTAAAATTTATTTATCATTTTTAGATAGGAATGTCTACCTTCCACTGCATAATTATTCTTAAGATGTCACTGACCCATAGCATTTTTAAGTTTGATGTCAGCTATATCAATGTAACTTAGTTTAATTATTATTGTCCAGACGTATCCAGGAAAATTTAATCCCACAAATGATGCAGTGAACCAGTCACTGGGTTTATCAGGCAAAGTGCTCACAGACATCAAGATGCACATAGAGCCATTAGATCAATGTTCACAGCTTCTCTGAACACTCTCTGTGACAAATAGAGAACATTGTACAGCTGCTTCTCCTCCTCTCTAGATGCAAAACTTAAATTGCATGCATATTTCTTATCAAATTAGGTGAGTTTAATAACCTGTTTGCAATATCCCTTGTCTTTTGCTGTATGCAACAAATAAATTTTTAAGAAACTTGTAACACTTTAATGTAATGATTCCCCTGGAAATGCCCATTTCTCAAGAGTATTATCAGTGACTGTAGAGTAAGTGTGTGTTTCCTAGACAACAGGTTGCATCACAAACAGAAAGCATTATTAAAATGGCAGGCAAATAACTAAAACACCATGTTCAGCTTTGAAGGAGATTCTTGCCAGCTAGGATGTTTTTTTATTTTGGAGAGTTTGTTTTTGGTTTCTGCATTCATTTCCTGCAGTATTTTGTTAGAGACAGGGTGATGTCATTTGGCACCCATGGTCATAACTTACCTGAATGTATAAAAAGCAGCTTTTTGCTGTCTTTTAATAAGACTAGGCAAACAAATAAGACCACGGTTATGGTTAGCTGTATTTCAGGGTCCTTTTTTTTTGTTTACAAAGAATTGAAAGATAACAAGATGTGTCAAGTACTACCTACTTCAAGCGAGGGAGCAGTTCATTTGGAAAAATGGAACTCCATAATTATTTTTACAGAAGGAGAGGATGTTACAAGAAGATGTAAACAATGTTAACAACACACTTGGGGTAAGAAAAATCTCCATATAATTATTCTGAGCAGAATCTACAATGTCTTTGAGAAAACATTTTGAGAAAAATATTCATTCTCTTGTTATACCTGCATTGCATACCACATTCCATCATTTGCAATATTACGGAAAGAAATACCCCAACACTAACTGGTGCCAATTTTCACACATTCTATAGCAACTGGCTTCTCCAAACACCCATTGCCATTTAAGAGAGAAGTTTTCAAACGAAAAATGTATTTCAGAGAAATACAGATATCTCCTTCCCAATGCATGAGGCCCCTAACATAGAAAAGACATTGATGTGCTGGAGCAGTCCAGAGAGCCACAAAGTTGATTACAGGGCTGGACCACCTCTCTTATGTAGGCAGGCTGAGGGAATTGGAGCTGTTCAGCCTGGAGAAGGCTCCAGGAAAACCCTATACAGACAGGTTGTCCACACTTAAAGGAAGCTTATAAGAAAGATGGAGAGAGACCTTTTATCAAAATAGTGACAGAACATGAGTAATGGTTTTAAATGAAAGAGAATAGACTAATACTGGATATGAGGGAGAAGATTTTCACAGTGATGCTGGTGAGTCACTAGAATAGACTGTCAAGAGAAATTGTGAATGTCCCATAGTTGGAAGTGTTCTAGGTCTGGTTGGATGGGGCTTTTTGCATCCTTGCATCTACTGCAAGATGTTCCTGCCCATGCCAGTGGGGCTGCTCAGAGTAATCTTTAAAGGTCCCTTCCAACCCAAATCATTCTATGAATAAAGACTACTTGAAAAGTGTTTTCTTGCCGAACTGTGAGTGAATCAGTGCTATGTTGGGAGCTCAGTGCTGGTTCTCCATCTCTGTGGTGTTCTGTCTCTGTGAATGTTTGAAAGAACCAGAGGAACTTTACTAAGTAGAAAGAAATGATAACATGGTATTCCAGGTATGAATAGAACTTTTTTTTCCAGTCTCCCCTACATTTCTTTAAAATTTTAAGATCTTCACTAGCAACTTCTGTACCCATCTCTAAGCAGGACTAGACTGATTTTTCAGACATACTGAAAACTCATAAATCCGTCACATTTTATTCATACAGCTTTGGCTCAAATGGTTTTGAGGATATTCAGTACATGAGAAAACCAAACCAAATATTTAGACATGAAATCAAGCCACTCCATAAATTCCTCCACTTGAGGCAGTTACTGCTGTTGCATATCTATGCTAATTCAACCCAGTGTACTTGGAGCTAGTAGGGATTAAACAAACCTAGATTTTATCTTATATCTAAGTTGTGTCAAATTTAAGGCTCCAAAGATTAAATGAATAAAAATGTATGTAAAGGTGCACTCACAGTTTTTAAGTCTTTTCTTACAAACTAATGAATTACAGGAGTGAGTAACATTTTTGGGGTTAATTTTTTTTCACCAGGAATTAACCAACCGCCAAAAATTGCATGTAATCCTCAAGGATTTGGAATGCCTCTTTCAAACATGTGAGGCAGTTTTGAGAAGACTCTGCCTTGAAAAAAATACATTAAACCCTGGGCACTGCTTATTTAACATTTTCCACTGATGCGTGGTGAGTCCAAACAATATTATCAGAAAGCAGCTTTATCAGGAATGAGATAGTCTCCTGGCAAACCTGTTTGTGAACTTCCTTTGAGGCATAAATCACTGCATGTCAGCAATAGAAGCTACTGTTGTTGCTGCCTGGTTGAGTTAGAGTTCTGGAAACTGTCATTTCAGTGCAGCACCCGCTTTACTGACTGCATTTTTAAGACCTTAATTTAGTGGCATGGTGATAATTCCCTGTTGCCATTAAAACACTGGAGCAGACTTGATTTGCTGCGCTGTTTATGCCATCTGTCAACACGGCTATTTCATAACAACTTCATTTTCAAGTGATGCCCAAATTCAGCTCCTAGGAAAGCAATAATAAAGATGTTCTAGGAAATTAAAATAGGGACATTTATGAAATGCAAGGAATTTCAGGATTTGTGCGGAACTCTGGAGTACTGGTTCATGGAGAAAATGGAAAATGAATGTCTCTACACATATAGCTACTAATGTAACTCAACTAATGGCACAACTAATGCAGCTCAGTCTGAGTAAGAAGAAAGCTGTCAGAATCCATTCTGTATGTAGCCAGAAAGGAGCTGAAGATGCCATCCTATTTACCAAAATCCCTTTGCCTTTATTTGGCAGAGAATACTTGAATACAGCGTCCACTCAGTGCAGGACATGAAATGCTTTGCTCCTTTTCTTAAAAAGAGTTCAATGAGGATTAATGATGATGATGATGATGGTGATGTTAATAATAACAATAATAATAAATGAGATAACCTGAATACAGAAAATTCATCAAGGTTTAATGTGTGAAATCTAGAAACGTAATGGAAAATTATTAGGAAGAAAAAGGACAAAGTCTGGATGGAAAAACCTTTTCATTAAGTTGAGCTGGAGTATGACAATCAAAAGCATTGAAATGCACAGCTCATATAATTTAAACCAATAATTCCCTAGTATTTCTGGCTCTGTAAGAGCATGTAAAGAGCAGATTTTTGGAAATGAAAGGCATTCCAGAAATCTGAAATGATTTTGTAAATACCATGTAATGATTTAGCTCATTTAAAATCTGTAAAATTAAATAAAAAATTGAAGAGGCAGAACTTTTTTCTGAATTCAACCATTAAAGAAGGACCATCACATTATGAAAGGATTAAGACAGTTGCTAGAATGTTTGAATTACTAAAAGAAGAATTAGAACATTTTAAGGTGGAATTTCTTTCCAAGGTGAGATAGAAAGTAAAAAATAAATATAAATAAAATATTAAAAAAAATACTGGAACTTTGTGTCTGTCCAACTGAAAAATAACTCTAATCATAGAGTGATTTTTGGAGGAAAAAATGTTTATTTTTGTGCTTGGTCTGGTTTTGCCTCCCTTTACCACAGAGCAGGCTCCAATTTTGTTCCTTCACCCTTCAAATACCACTTTCTTGCCACACTGTGCTGTCTGGGGAAAGACTGAATTTTCCTTCCTTTGTTATTTTCCACTTTCAAATGCAGAACTTAATCACAGCTCAAAATGCTTATGAAGTTCATGTGAAGTGTCCCTGTGACTGACCATGGTATGCTTTTTTAAGGTATTTTAATAACATTGGTGCTTACTACTTAGCTCAGTACTCCTAATCATACATCTGAATTCTAGCATAAATATGTTCTCTGTATTTATCTTTTACTTAAATATTGCTTAATTAAACTGTAATTCAGAAAAGGGGGACAATTTGATTAGTTGGAAGAGGATTTGCTCCCATCTTGCTCTTGTAAAATAAAAATATCTGACTAGCTGAATACAAAGATTTGAAACTAAAATCAGCCTATACTATTCTAATGTTTATGAAAAAATTTGAATGTTACAAAGGCATAATTAATAGTTGATGCAAGACTGAATTCCACCACTGTTTAAATATTATTCTCTGCTCAAAATTTAAAACATTCAGGTAATGATAAGGATGATCAGAGTGGAACAAAGTTCAGCAGTCAATCTTCAGCCTGAAAATGGTTCCACAACTTTATGGGATGGAAAGCTTGGAAAAATTTAGCTACCTGTTGTGTAAAATACTCCTGAAATATCAAATAAACAGAGAAGGAAAAGATGTAAAAATCCAAGCTGTTATTTTACAGAAAACAACTGAACATGTGTAAGCCTAAATTTTTGTAACTCTGACACAACATTTGAATAGGCAGTAGAAAATAAAGACTCCCACAGGGAATTCTTTCTGTTGAAAGAGGCTAAGAATAAAAG